AAATCCTGGAAGACAGAAACCATGTCTAACTTATTTAACAATCTCCCAGAATCTGACCACAAATCTCATGAGGTTACAATAAGCCCTATTTACTGCTGACATTAACTAGTTTTAAAAAGAAATTCATAGAAAGCTATGTTTCAAACATAACTTCATATTTGGGGATTTGGGGTTTCTCTACTTTTAAGCAAAAACAACACCTTGTTATAAAACTTTTGCATAGTTGCCAAGATAATGAAGTTGGAGGAATCTCTTTTCCAGGAAAAAGAGTCATACATTAGGATTAATAAGTACCTTGGTTCCCAATCATGTTTCTCCTTCAAGGCTGCACTTCTAAAGAGGAGACAAACTAAATACCAGTGATCTACTAGGATGCTTTCTGGGAGAGATTAGAAAACTCACCATAACAAAAACTAGATGCAAGTCCTCCTGAAGGGAAGACACTGGCACAGGGCAGGCCCTAATCAGATTACAGAGGGTCAACCAACTCACTGCATGTGATAATCAAAGAACAATGAAGATTTGTATAGTATAAATAATCAAACATCAACTACAAAAGTGTCAAATTTATAAACCTTACTCAAATATTTATTTATTTTTTAAGAGAGAATTTTTAATATTTATTTATTTATTTATTTTTAGTTTTCAGCGGGCACAACATCCTTGTTTGTATGTGGTGCTGAGGATCAAACCCGGAGCCGCACGCACGCCAGGCGAGCGCGATACCGCTTGAGCCACATCCGCAGCCCCTCAAATACTTATTTATGATTCTAGTAAAATATAAAGTAGGTATCAAGAGGGCAGCCATCCCATAAAGCAGACAGAACTATAGTTTTTCTGACAATGTGGAAGATGGTATTATTTTCTATAGCTTCTGATGCCCCAGTAACCAGCCAGCATCTTAGGAAGAAAAGAAAGAGCACATCACCTGACACTCCAGGGCCCCAGAGCCAGGTTTGGCCTTCTGAAAGGACCTAAGCACAGAACTGTCTAGAGGGACCACAAGACTACTCTGCTAGGCTCAGTCTTGGCCCTGGTAGAAAAGCGCCAAAATAAAAAGGCATCTACCACTCAAAAAAGTTATATATTGGACTAAGAAGGGAAAAACAATGGAACAACAGTGTTTTCTTTGCTGAATTTTTGAGTACCAAACCAGCTGCTCAGAAATTACTTTATAATTGGGAAGCATAGGCAGTGAAAAGCACCCTGAAATCATCAAGAATTAACAAGGAGAGTCACTGTTACGCACAGCCCCCATGTGAGGAAGAGATGGAAAAGAATGACATGTCCATTTCCCAGTACAAGTCAGAGACCAAACCAGGACTGATCTCCACAGCTTCTCAATTCCAAGATCTTTATGCTTTCCTCTGCATCATACTGACATCAAGAATGAAATACACACTTTAATACATGAAAATCACAATAACCCCAAGCATTGCCCAAGCATTGGCTGTCACCAATGTTACCTCCTCCAAAACAATCCAAAACAAATTAATGTTTAAGGAGCAAAGCTACAAAGAGTATCATAGGCTGGGAAAGGAAGAACTTCAAGGTTCCTCCAAAAGTCAACACTTTCCAAACATAATTTTTTTAATACCTTTATTTTATTTATTTTTATGTGATGCTAAGGATCGAACCCAGAGCCTCACACGTGCTAGACGGATGCTCTACCAMTGAGTCACAATCCCAGCCCCCAAACTTAATTTTTAAAACCACATATTCTATTCTGATTTCTGTAAGGCTGGCTAAATAGCAAAATACTGCTAAAACGAATAACTACTAAGTATAAGCCTTTTAATGCAGGGGAACTTCATGAATCAAATTATGAGAGCCAGACAGCTTAGGAAACTGCATACAGGTCTCCCTTAAATGGTGTTAAGAGAAATCTAAAGTTTCCCATGGTTTGTAAAAGACAGACACATAGAGCCTTTTGTGGATGTGGAAGCTGAAGGGAACTGTCTGATCTTGGTGGAAAATTAGCCATTCAAAAGCTTATTTTGGGCTTCTTAATTGGCTTGTTCCATTTCTTTGACAAAAAGAATGCCTTAAATTTATCCCTCAGTTTATAAAAGAGGAAATAAAACTTTTTAACTCCAAAACAGATCATGAGGCTCCAGTGCTTGACTTGGGTTGACAAATGGTGGCTGTCTTTTCAACTGGCTGCCCTAAAACCCACTAGTAACAAGTCAAGTTTCCAGATGCTCCTTGCTTTTAATGAAGGAATAAACTAAAAAGTTGTGGATACAAATGCAAATGTCATTTAGTTCAACTCTCTACCTCAAAATTAAGTTAAGTACAGATATAATAATGTGGTTATTTGTCATTCAACAGAAAATTTCTCCACAAAAATAAAAGGAAATGGAAATTTTCAATTTAATGAAAAGATTAACCTTATACAGATAGGAGATGCTTTTGGAAACACATATTTTCAAAATTTCCCCCCAAAAGGCATCCATCTCCCAACCTCTATAGAGAAGTCAATCTATTGAATAATATCACAACAATCTAGCCACTAAAGTAAAATACAGATGTTAAAATAAAACAAGTTAGTCATGAGCATTCCCAAGAAAAATACAAGGAAACCAAAAATTTTCCCAAGGGAAAAAGCATAAAAATATAATGGGAAACAATACTTTGAAAGAAAATCCACTTTGTTGTGACCACTTTCAGAATCCTGTGATCCATTATGATGACATGCACCCTATCTTAMGCGGCTCAGATGCAGAGGGGCCATCTGGGAGGCTAACTTCCCCTCCACGTCAACGGCTGTAATGTGGCTCAACATCTGCAAGTCAGCAGCACTGAGCCCTTATCACCAGAGCTCAGGACCCACCAAACTCATTTTGCTCCTCTGAACTAACCAGAAAACAACTGTTTTCCATCCTTCTTCATAGTTTTTTCCTACTATTATTTCCAATTTTAAGATTTGCTACTAAAAACAGTCAGTCAATGCACAAAATTCCTATCCTTACTTTTCCTTTGTAGTACTGAGGAACTAAGTCAGAGCACTTTCACACTGAGCTACATCACTAGCCCTTTTGATTTTTTATTTTGCAACAGGGTCTTGCTAAGTTGCCAAGGCTAACCTCAAACTAGTGACCCTCCTGCCTCAGCCTTCTGAGTCACTGGGATTACAGGCATACACCACCATAGCCAACAAAAATTCCTGTTTTATTTCCACCTTCAAGTGGGCTCTCTTGAATAAAGGATTAAGTAAGAAAAAGAGAACTTGGAAGCCCACTGAAGTTGAAGTACACCCAAAACAACTCTCAGTCAAGATTCTTTATTTCTACTACTGTTTTTTTTTTGTTTTTTTTTTTCAATGCTTTCTGTCAAGTCCCATCACTTTGCCTGAGAACAGGTTCCTCATGGCTCCACTGGCCACCACTTATCTGCCTCATGTGAGGGCAGCTGTGGCACAGGGCCTGGCGGGCTTTATTTCAACCTTTATTCTTATTGGTATCAACAGGACATAGGGTTGGGGAAGTATCCTCAACCCTCCAACATTTACTGAGCATTCACTCTAGCCTAAGTATAGCTCTGCTTCTCAGCAGGGCACAGGGGATTTGAAGGCCTATAGGCAGGTCTGGTCTAGGAAGTCTGGCAAAGGTGGCTCTGGACCGCCATGCTGAAGGGACCTCAGGTAGGTGCAGTCCCCTCCACCCTTGGCTCTTGGGCCAGCTCCTGCTGCTCCCGGTCCAGCTGATGCAGCTGTGGTTCCACGTCTTCAGGCACTTGCACCTCCAGCAGGTTTTCCATGCCACATTCTGGCTCATCTCCAATTAGCACCTGGATGAGCTTTTCACAAGCCAACCGCACATCAGGCTCTGGTTCCCAGCTATGCAGCTCTMGAAGATCAGGTAGGTTCCCTGGTCCCACACCTGCTGCCGCCCAGGTGCAGTGGCTGTCAGCAGCATGATGGCTTCAATGAGCATCTTGCAGATGTCGGCATCAGGTTCACGCTGCTTCTCTGGTGGCAGGTACTGCAGGTCAACAGGCAACCGGTTCATCTCTTCTTCCGAGACATTCTCAGGCCCAGCCAGAGGCAGTAGCAAGAAGGGAAGAATGTTGACTTCAGGCCCAAGCAACCACTCATGGTGTTGGTGCTCAAAGCAGCAATTCCGTAGCATTCCTACCACCCCTCCCCTGCGCACTGAGGAGTCTGAACGCTGGATAAGGGGCAGCAGCCACTGGACCACGCACCTGGATTGGCTCTTCCGAGTGGCGATCAGCTCAGGCACCCAAGCCAAGCGGTGGCTGGGCTGYGGGATCTCAGCCCCCTGCCGGGGCCGCAGCACTACCCACCAGAGCTATTTCTACTACTGTTAAAACTGTTTAAATTGGGCTGGGGATGTGGCTCAAGCAATAGCGCACTCGCCTGGCATGTGTGTGGCCCGGGTTCGATCCTCAGCACCACATACCAACAAAGATGTTGTGTCCGCCGAGAACTAAAAAAATAAATGTTAAAAAATTCTCTCTTTAAAAAAAAAAAAAAACTGTTTAAATTCTATGCTTATGTTCAAATTTATGCTTATTTTTGTCCAGAATTAAAATATACATTGTTTGGAATGTTTTCTTGAGATTTTATTTCATTTACTATTCAAAAACCAAAAAGTCTTAGCCCTCCTGATTTAAAAAAAARAGAGAACATTAGCTTACAAGTATCTACCATTTAAACCTATAACTTTAAAAATTACTTTCCAAAAGAAAATCTTTTGTGAAAAGGGGATGATTATAAACCAAATCGTAAAATTCTTTCCTGTGCTCATAGGATCATTATCATGATCTTCATGCATAAAGGGCATGCTCAGAATAGAGGTCATCATTCCACTGAATGAATCTGTATTAGAGAAAAACCGATGTGGTTAGTAAGGCAGGTAAAACTAACTTCAACTGCATCAGAGCCTACCAGTCTCAGCAAACCCACAATTCTTGGTGAATTGAGAAAACACGGAGACTACCAGAGGGTGTCTACCAGAACAGGCAGTCACATTACTCACCTTGTGTAAAGGGAGCACCAGGAATGCTCCACCCCCACTCGCTTCTATGATTATGGCAACGAATCTGGGATTAACAGCACAAAAGGAACTATCCCAGGTCACACGAGAAACTCGGATGTCATCGTAGCACTGGTCATTTTTCACTGCTTGTCCAAATACATGCCGAAACTTGCTCTGTCGTACCACTCGCCTCATCGTGTCTGTAGAAGAAGAGCAAGAATTATGCAGCAAACTGAAACTTTTACAAATGAAAAAAAAAATAAAGCCCCAAGTTAGAAAAACAAAATGGTATGGTATTTTGTTTGCTCTCCAAAAAAATAGCCAGGTTGCAAATCCAAATTTCCTTTAGCAGCACATACCAGAAGAAAACTGTAAAATGCGTCAAGGAAAGAATTACAAAGAAATGAAAAATTCCTAATCCAAGATCCAGAGCAGCTCATCAATTTTAATTTCAGGAGAAAGATTAAAGTGAAGAATGAAGGAAAATTAGTTTTTCATGGCTGGGTGGGAAATGACGGATGATCACTCCAACCCTCACCCCTTTCAAAGATATGAAAACTCCCCAGTTAAGTGGTCTGGTAGCTGTGAGCTGAAGAAAATCCAAAAACAAGCTTTGATTTCGTGGCTTTCTCCTCAGTCTGCCAAGGTAATTTTTTAGTTTTTAAACATTTTCCCCAGACATCAGCACTCTGCTGTCTGAAAAGTGTGCCTGCTTCCCAGGATTTCCATGAGACCAACTAGGCACAGTGGAGAATTCTAGAGACAGAAGCAACCACCCTGTCTTCAAGAGCTTTCTAACCTCCTTTTAAGTCAGGCATAATAATCAAAGCAACTCAGGACAAACTGCCTAGAGCTGAGGGCCACATGGTGAGAAGAGGGAGGCAGGGGAAGGCAGCCCAATGGATCAAGAACCAAGTCTTAGAAAGAGAAGTATTTCAAAAAAAGTAAAGCAACCAAAGCCATGTTTAGGATGATCGTAAGTCTGGCAGTAGCACAGTGGAGGAATAAGACAGGAGGAAGCTAACTAGGTACTGGTCTAGGCAGCTGTGACAACAAACCAGAACTGGAATGACATGACTGTTAGCACTTGGAGGAAACGAAAAATTCAGGAACCATTCTGAGGAGAAATGAAACCAGGACGGGTTTTCACATCAGAGTTTATCATTCACCATACTCATTTCCCAATAAACCAGGGAATAAGGGTGGGGGTGACAAAGCCAGGTTGCTCAGCTTCCAGGTACGTCATTTCAGACTCCAGATTCCATTGGACGGCCTGGTACACACGTGCATTGAAAGCTCTGACCAAGGCTTCTTAGACTGCACTTGATRTAATTTTCCTACCTGCGGCCATGCGACATTCTGTTCAGACTGGTTAGGAACATGGATAAGACCTATGTGGAACTGGAACATGGCAAATCAACAACTCAGCTGAAAACCAGAACCCCACATACACAGGAGAGCTATCACCTGTCCCCCATGCCACTGGCACATGGCGGGCTGTTGCTGATTCCCTTCCTCATGGCCCTGGACCCAATGCTAAATTCAAAAAGAGAGAGCATTTATTTTTGCCAGAGCTTCCATTTACCCTTCCAAGACGTGTGCACAAGTGGCCTCTCTCCAGCGCTGGGGCATATGGCTGGGAAGAGGCAATAGGCCTTGGCAGGCAAACTGAGCACACATGCTCCTCGGTCCAGCTGTTGTTGCTAGCTTTTTCCGGCCGACACCCAGGACCATACATTTGGAGTACTCCGTAGAGGGGATGGCAAATGACATGCTTACATCTGGCCAGGGTCCTTCTTGAAATTAGGTAAGACAGAGTCCATGGGGTGGTGAAAACCAGAAGGAAAGCACATCCATACAGAGGCCGGTGAACAATCAGCTGGTCTCAGATGCCATTTCCCTACATACAGCCACCTGCAGGTTATAAACGCTGGAATCCCTACCAGCAAAAAAGTAAGTTACCAAGGAAGAAAAAGGACTGCACTGTGTCTGTGTCAATATCCTTCATATATAAAAAGTTCTTACGAATTCATACAAATAAAAGCCAATAGAAAAATTAAGCAAGACATGAAGAGTTAATTTACAGAAATATAAAATGGATTCACCACCTTCCTAAAAATCCTAATAAGCAGTAATAAAGTGACAATAAAAGAACAAAAGAAGTATAAATACCAAAGGTCAAGAGAACAGGAAAGGAGCCTGAAAGAAGGCAAACGTGACAACAAAATCTTAGAAAATAAAAAGCTGCAGTGCATGTGTGTGTCCACCACTCAGCTAACTGTCTCAGGAAGAGACGCCAAGGCCCATGGTGAATTCCCAGGACACCCAGAAGAGAAACTGTTTCAAAAGGACAGAATTGACTGAAAGTCTGAGTTAAGAGAAGCTGGACACCCAGATCCCCTCCCTCCAGGGCAGTCACGGAACTGGCCCATTAGAGCCACACTGACACTCTGTTCTGTAGTGAGGCCTCCAGCCCCTTGTTCCTTCTCACTCCAACAACCAGACACCACCCACCTCACCCAGGAGGATATCAGACTTCACCTTAGTGACAAGGTCCACCACTCAAAGGGCCCCTCTACCCACAGGGGTATCAGATCAGCTTTTAAAGCATTTAAAAATATGAATGGAAATTAGAGGAAGGCTTCTACATTGAAAAACAGACACATTTTTTCTTCTTCACTGAAATGAACCAGATACCATCTAACCTCACAAGATTAAAATAAATGTGAAAAATGCTGATGATCTTCTTCGAAAGATAATACACAACTCTGCTGGTTGACTTACTAAAATGCCCTAAAAATCATTTCCACATTATACATAGTGACAACTTATTTTCACCCTAACTACATCTGGGTAGAATAATAGAGAGGTTCTTTTGTTACAATTATGAAGTAGAATGTTAGTTGCAGAGCTGAAAAAGTGGGTGGAGGCGCCAATGCTTCTAGCATTGTGCTGAATCAGACTTGTGGAAACGCAGCTGAAGACCAGTGTGAGCCCATTCCCATCCAAGGTCAAAACTGCTCTGGGCTCAGCTGTCCACATGTGACACAGCTGTTTTTGCTGCACAGAATGTTTCAGGCCCTCCAGGCACATAATAGAGAATAGCAATTAAGAGAGCAAACTGCAGAAGCAGACAGCCTCGTGAGTGAGGCGTGAGTGAGGCTGTATCATTTACTTCCTGGCCATGGTTCGTTAGGGCAAGTCACTGAATTTCCATGTCAGATTCTCTATTAGAATGTAGGCATGATGTATATAAAGCTGAAGTGATTATTAAGTGAGCACTTGGTGATGCAACAGAGTGGCAATAGATTACTATGACACAGTATACAGTACAGTCAGATATACAAAACTAATCATGCAATAAATGCCAACTGTTTTCATCTTAGTAATTAACATAAAACACTGGACTCTGCCACTTGCTGCAAATTACTTAACYTCTCTGAGCCTCAGTTTGCTTATCTATAAAATGAAGGGAATGATACCCAAAACAAGGAATTAAACCAAAACCTGATAAGCCCAGGTCCAAATGGCTTCACCACTAAAATCTATCAAACATTTACAGAATACCAATTCTTCACAAATTCTCCCCACCCCTCTCCAAGAGGGAATGCTTCAAAATGAATTGTATAAGGCCAGTATTTTTTTTTTGTAGTAGCGTGAATTTTATTTTTCCATGAAAAAAGTTTAACATAGTTTTGTACATAAGTAAAAAGATATGCAAGTCAAGTACAAAGAAATCCCAGATCCCCCTCATCCAGTTTCTCCAATTGAATATTATACTACATTGCCTGCCCCCACCTTTACACTGTGTGATTTGTAAAGAGGAGGGAAAAGTCTATTTTTATTCCTAATACCATGGGAACAGTATCAACAGGAGTATAAGGCCAGTATTACCTTAACAGCCAAACAAAGACATCACAAGAAAACTACAGACCAACATCTCTCATGAATATGAATGGAAAAATCCTCAACGATACACTAGCAAAACAAATCCAACAATTGATAAAGGAATTCTAGCCAGGTATGGTTGCCATGCCTGTAATCCCAATTATTCCAGAGGTTGAGGCAGGAAGACTGAAAATTCTTTAAGATTGGGCAACTTAGCAAGAATTTCTCTCAAAATAAAAATAAAATAAAAGGGCTGGGGATGTAATTCAGTGGTAGAACACTTGCCTAGTATACACAAGGCCCTGGATTCAATCCCCAGTACCACTAAAAAATGAGAATAAAAATAAAATATATCCCACAAAATTACCATATGACTCAGCCAACTCCACTCCTAGGTATATACTCAAAAGAACTGAAAACAGGTAATCAAACAAATACTTATACACAGATGTTCACATTATTCACAATAGCAAAAGAATCAAATGTTGATTATTCATTGGGCAAATGGATGAAAAAATGTGATATTATCCACAATTACTCAACAATAAAAAGAAATAAAGAAGCCAGGCACAACGGTGCAGACTTGTAATACCAGCTATTCCAGAGGCTGAGGCAGAAGGACCCAACAACTTGGCCAGACCCTATCTCAAAAAAAARRGGGGGGGGCAGGTATGTAGCTCAATAGAGCACCCCTGGGTTCAATACCCAGTACTGCAAGAAAAAAAAGAAAGAGAGTACTAATAAACACTGCAGTCTAGCTGGGTGCAGCAACTCATGCCTGTAACCCCAAGGCTCAGGAAGCTGAGACAGAAGAATCCTGAGTTCAAAGCCAGCCTCAGAAACCACAAGATGCTAAGCAACTGAGTGGAACCCTGTCTCTAAATAACATACAAAGTAGGGCTGGAAATGTGGCTCAGTGGTTAAGTGCCCCTGAGTTCAATCCCTGGTACTCCCCACAAAAGAAACCAGTCATAAAAATCACATTATTACAATTAAAATTTATATGAGAATCCAGAATAGGCAAATCCTGATATAGATAGAAGGTAATTTAGTGGTTGCTTTGGGGAGGCAGGAGAAAAACAGGGGGTTAGGAAGCTACAACTAAAGAAAGGGTACTGAATTTCTTTTTAAGGTAATAAAAATGTTCCAAAATTGACTGTAGTGATGGTTGCACATATTTGTGAACATACTAAAAATTAATGATAAACTTTAAAATAGGTGAATTGCATAGTATGTGAATATGTCAATAAGACTGTTTTCTTAAAAATCTGCAATGCCTAGCATAGAATCTAAAGTATAGTTCAATACTGTC